CCGAACTTGTTACTCGGTGAACGTGGCTGCTATAGTATAGGCAAGCCCACCGTTAAGAAATCAGATAGTCAATACTTACTATAGCAAGCCTTCCTCGGTTCTTCACCCTCCAAATGGATTCTCTTAAAGGCATTTCAAATTATAAAACTTTCATCTAAATGTTGTTTTCTGGGGCGGCTGGGTGGCTCAGTCGGTGAAGCATCTGCCTTTGGCCCAGGTCATGATCCTGGGGTCCTGGGATTGAGCCCGACATCAGGCTCCCTGCTCAGTAGGGAATCTGCTTCTCCCTCTGCCTCTGCCCACCCTACCCCCAGCTCATGCTCCTTCTCTCTCTCTAATTCTCTCTATATATCTCAAATAAATAAATACAATCTTTAAAAAAAAAAAAAAAGCTGTTTTCTGGGAATGTGCCAACTGCCAAGTGGCTAAGAGCCGAAAGGCTATGTTGGGGTCAAAACTAGCCCAGACCAGAGGTTGCCTGGGCTTGCTGTGAGGACATGCTCCCCAGGCCCTCTCTTTGGCTCTTGTGCCCTCTGTCTCCTGGTTCTGCCTTCATCCATCATTAGGGAACAACAGAGCTCGGGGCTAGGGTGGGCTGGGCTGGGGTCTCATTGTTCTTTTAGGCCATGTTCTGGCATCTTCCCCCCAAAAGAAGCCACTTTCTCCCAGTCCCCCTGGCAAGAAAAGTCATGAGACATCCTGCCAGAGGGAAGACCAGACACCCTTCTAGGTTCCAGAGAGCAAAGGGGGCTTTTCTGGGGGAGTCCTCTAATTTCCTTTCTGATACTCCCCCTAATCCCCACACATCCAGAATGCCAAAACTTTAACTAACCTAGCAACCCTTGTCTATTGACATTAGTCAACTATTGCTATGATAATGTTGCACAACAAAGGACCCTAAAATCTCAGTGACTTAACAACCACCATTATTTCTCTTGTCTGTAGTCTGAGGGTTGGCTGGGTGGCTCTGCTTTGGGTCACAGGGTCAGTTCAGGTCTGGCACACATGTCTTGCATGCCCTTCTCATGGTAGCTGGAAGAAGTGCAAGAGGCCCATCTAAACCACACAGATTTAAAGCCTCTGTTCACATCACATCCCCTAACATTACATTGGCCAAGGTGAGTCATGTGACAAGTTCAATGTCAGTGGGGTGGGGAAGTGTCCTTAGCCCCTTAGAGTGGGAGCTGCTGCAAAGTCACATGGCACCCCAAAATCTAAGCCTCTATGTTAACCAAACAGCAAAAGCCACATGGCAGAGGGTGTGGCTATGTACTTCCATTAGAGGAAGAGGGTGACTCCAAATAGGACGGGGTGGGTTTAAGTGGATCATTGCTTTCAATCCACTTTCTTTGGGCGGATTCATCCTCCCTGTTTGGAGTAGCCGTGTTTTCAGTTTGAGCGGCACTGATCCCACTACCAGCGCTAGAGATGGACCTGGACAAGCTCAAAACAATCTGATAGCCCATCCCATGGCCACAGTTGTTGTGTCAAGGAAAGACACGTGACCTAATTCAGGCCAGTGGAGACACTGAATCCCAAAGGAATCCAGAAAGTCCTCCCTTTCTCACTAGAAAGAACAAAGAAATGTGGAGTCCAAGGAGCTTCTGGCAACCAAGTTATGATTCTGAGGGGACCCGCCTTGGAATGAAGCAATGGAAGAGAGTACAGAAAATAGAAAGAAATCAAGTCCTGAGGAGATGTAATTCAGCTGGATTAAGCATTACCTGAAACCTGACCTACTACTTGACTTTTCACTTACAGAAGCAAATGCATTCCCATTTTTGTTTAAGCCAGTTTAAGTTTTGTTCTCCATCATTTGCAACCCAAAGATTCCTAAGTGAAAGATGATATCAGAGAGGAGACAGAAGAACTGAGGTTCTCTAGTTACTGTCCCCTTATATCACACAAGCCAGAAACACTGGGCCTAAGAGAATCATGGGATTTGATCATCTCTGCTAGAGCATTCAGAGCCAGCCATTCCGCCTGGCACCTCACTCCACCACCATGGGCCTCCAGCCCCCCCAAATCACCCTGCACCTCCAGACCTGTTCACTTTCCTGATGCAGCCTCCAGTCTTGGGCTGGCCCCAAAGCTCTGGGAGTCTGGAGTTGCTGCCTCATACATCAAAGATGCTTTCGCACGAAGGGAAAAATGTTGGTCATTTTTCAATGTGTGTGGCTATCTTCGAGCAAACTTGAATGCCAGAAGTGGGGCTGGGAGGCAGTACTAAATAAATGGGACTGCCCCCAGAAGGAGCCAGCAACGTCTGCCTACTCTCCCCACCCAAAGTGGGTGAAGGTGAGGGGACCTGGGAAAGGGGCTGTGGGTGTGTTCCCACGGCCTACACACTCACAATAAAACCCGGAGGAGTTTGGCTGTCTCTGGACCCCAAAGCATCGTTCCCCAACCCTTAGTCACTGAGAAAAGAGAAAGCTTTCCATGTTATTGTTGCTTTAAAATCATGTTTTGTGAACGAGAGGAAGAAAAAAGACAAGTCCATTTAGCCATTTTTTCCTAACACTCCAGCCACCACAGGCTGCTGGGGCTTGAAGAAAAATCAAGACAGCCCTGGCCTGGGACAGGTACAGCGGGGGACCCACGCAGCCCTCCTCCCGCCCGGCTCAGCCACTCCCTGACGCCGGCTCTCTGCTCTCCCCAGACACTCAGGGCTCCTTCCTCTCCCAGGCCCTTACTCCCCTCCCGCCCCGGCCCTGCCCCGCGCCCCCTCCTGGTCCCGCCACAGGTCGGTGCTCGGCCGTGCGCCGCTCCGCAGCCTAGACAGACAGTGCCCCCCTTAGGCCACACTCGGCCCTGGGCTGCGGCGACCTGTGCGACAAAGACGAACACCCGTGGGGGCTTAGGGGGAGAACACGGGCGAACCTTCACTGGTGACCCCAATTTCAAGTTCGAACCCAGGTCTCCAGAGGTGAGTGTGAAGAAAATGCCTGAATTAAAATGCTAATTACCGTCTTCAGCAATTCGTTACCAGACAGTCACTTATATCTATTATTAACAGCTTCCCCGCCACTCGCCAGGAGACACGGATGATTTAAAGATTCAGGTGCAAGAGAGAATAACAGAAGGCCGTGTCTGCACCATGAAGCCCGATCTGTGGGGGTGCCACCCCATTCTGCCCACCCTGCAGAGAGATGATAAGAGGAGGTCCCCAGCAACAAGAGGTGAGGCCCCGGAAGGTCCCTGGGGGCTCCCCAGGTGGGAACTTGGGAAGTGGTTAGATCAGCCAGGCACACAGAATAACCTAAACCTTTATGTTTAAAAATATTTGCAGAGCCCTTTAGGGCTCACAAAGTCCTCCAGGATTTCTTAATTAAACACCAGGGTTTGGTGAGGGCAGGAATTTGAGCTCCCGTGCCCAGGTAGGAAAAGGCCCAGGTAAGATGCTACCCTGGGCATGAAGGCTGTCCCCTGACGCTGCCTGCTCCTGGGATCTGGAAGGTTCGCTGCTGAGGAAAAGATGGCCCATGAGCCGAGCTGTCAGTTCCCAGGTGAACCACGTGCTGGCACTTGGGAGAGCCAGAACTCCGTTGTCACACTGACCTCTAGAAATAAGACAGAGCTGGTCTCAAGGGATGCCTTGGGGCCTCGGCAATGCCGAGGGAGGGTCTACCCAGGCGGAGGGTCTGCCGAGGTTGGGGGGGGAGGGGCTTTGTCGGCTGGGAGAGAGGAGGCGAGGAATAGAAGAGGAGCATGGGATACAGAGTACATGCAAATTGCAGAATAACAGAGCAGAAAAAGCCGCATCTGCCCTCCTCTTTGTTCATGACAGGCAGAGAGGGACTGAACTGCCCAAGGTCACTAGAAACTGCCCAGTCAGGGCAGAGGCAGGTTCAAAGGCCCTTCCTAGACTACAGGCTAGACACCAAAGGGACGACGCACAGAGGCCTTGAGTCCACCCTATTAAGTTGCTGTCACAGTCGCTCCAGCCCGCTGAGATGATCTTGTCCCACATCTGTGTGCTCAGGCATTGGGAAGAAGGGCGCTTCATGATTTCTTATGAACCAATGAGGAAATGAATTCGATGCTATACGTGAACAGCCTCATACACAGGGCATTCTGGGGCCGGCTCCTACCAGCTCCTAGGAAGCAATTGTTAAATATGCAAGATTTGTGAGCTGGTTGTTAAACAATTGGCAGCTTGAAATCAGGCGTGGTGAGAGTATTTACACCATAGCAATCAGCAAATGCTACTAATCAGGGCTTTTTTCCCTACCCGCCCCCCCCACTTCCAGTTAAACACTAGAGCCAGTCTTAACTTGGACTAATCTTAATCTCTGAATCTTCCAAATCCAGGAAAAGTTGAAATGTCTCCTGCATTGTATTCCCTCATTTGGTTTCCTTGGGTGCAGGATTCCCCTACATTTTCAGCCCCGCCTCCAGCCACAAGGCCAGGCCCCCTTCTGGAGCCAGGGCCAGAAGAGTTAAATCCCTATCAGCTCTGAACTCCCTCTCAGTGTGCCAACTGTTTCACTAGGTTCTGGCCCCAGGTGAGGTATAAACACCCCCAGTGATGAATGGCCCCACAAGCGGTGACGCGGGGGCCCTCTGCTCTCTCCACCACCTGTTCTCTCCCAGCTGGAGGAAGGCAGGAGGAGGAGGGGGCTTCCATCTGAATCAGAATCATCCATCCTAAGTAATTAGCTGCTGAAGAAAATGCAAACCCACGGAAGGGGAGCAGAGGTGCCCCCACCAGCTTCTCCAAACTCCGCCCACCCCAGGCTTGCCTCAGAGGCTGCTGGGAGAGCCAGAAACCCGAGAAGGCCAGGATGCCATCTGCCAGGGCACAGGGTCTCTCTGCAGAACAAATACTAGGACACTCCTTTCAAGACTGCCGCTGTCAGGCCCAGCCAGGGACCAGCCCCACATCTTCTCTCCCAAGGCTGGTGCTCTGGCCTCTTGATCACCGTCTCCTCAGCTAGGGAATGGCAAGTGTGTTTGGCAGACACCACTGGCCACCTATCCAGTGTCCATTTCCTTCTTACCTGATGTTGTTCAGGTAGATCCTTGGTGTTCCCATGACCCATGTCCCAGAGTGGGAGGGAGTGGAGTGTGGTCCAGTTACAGTCACTGACACATGAAGGGAGGTCTGAGGTGTCGGATCCTAGGAAAGAATCATCACAGGGAGAGATGCTCTCTTCTCTCTATCTCTAGGCATTATGGCATCTGGACATGAATTCTGGAGCTTTAGCAGCCATATTGTGACCCTGAGGGCTGCCAGACTGAGGTTGGGGCTGAGCAGAGGCAGAGAAAGAGTCCAGCCAGGTCCCTGGTGATGTCACTGGATCTCTGATTCCCGTGCCTGGAGGCGCCTCTCCTCTAGACCTCCTGCCCTGTGAGATAAGAAAGGTCCTCGGGGGCACCTGGGTGGCTCAGTCATTAAGTGTCTGCTTTCGGCTCAGGTCATGATCCCAGGGTCCTGGGATCGAGCCCCGCATCGGGCTCCCTGCTCCGCGGGAAGCCTGCTTCTCTCTCTCCCACTCCCCCTGCTTGTGTTCCCTCTCTCACTGTGTCTTTCTGTCAAATAAATAAATAAAATCTTTTAAAAAAAAAGAAAAAGAAAAAGAAAGGTCCTTATTCATTTTGACTTGGGGTGGTTGCCTGCAGCCAAAGGCATCCCGACTCAGGGAAAGTAAAGGCTGAATACGATTACCCAGCTAAGTCAGGCCCTGATCTTGGACCCCCATGTGGGTAACTAGGTTTGGGTTGTGCCTGATGCCCAGGCCTCCTGCTCCGCCCAAACTGGTGCTTTCCTGAGGCCTTTCTCTGGCATCTGGAGGGCTACTCTTCCCTGGGTTCCAGGCCAAAGGTGCCAGGAAATAAAACTTCCCAAGAATAGCCCTCATCCAACAACTGACAGGAGAAGCTTTATAAATACTCCATGTCACTCTCCCCTTGGGTAGGAGAGCTCCAGGGCATGCTGTCTGTCCTGGCCACCAGGGTTCCAGGGTTGTGCTCTAGTTGTCCCCAGCAGTAACCTACTGGAGAGCACTCCCCTTATTGGTTGCACCCATTCCCCATCATCTTCCAAAGATGCTACCTGCACTCGAAACCTCGTCCCCGGGTTCACTTCCGGGGGCCCAAACTCAGGCTACCTCCCTCCAATGCACTGAGACCTGCTCTGTGGCAGGCACTGCAGAGAGACCAGGAAACAAGATGTACGTCTCCCGGCCCCGGGGCTATTTCATTGCAGAGACAGGAAATCAACAAGTCAACTAGTCATATCATTTTAGGTGGCCTTAAATACAGGGATCAAAATAAAACTGGATAGTAGCTGTGATGGGAAAGGGCACAAAGAAAGCAGGGGCTAAGCGTTCTCTCCAAGGCTCATCTGTACCAAGAGCTGCGGGAGAAGATTCCAGGCAGAGGAAACAGCAAGTGCAAAGGCAGAGGTGGCTCACGTGGTAGATATGAGGAGCAGAGAGAAGGCAGTGCGGCAGGAGGGAGGTGAGGGAGAAAGAGGAGGAGGTGAAGTGCAGAGGGATGGCTCCCGAAGCGCATGGGAAGGAGTTTGTGGGGTCTGGGTCAATGGGAATCTATTGCAGGTTTGTAAGGTGGAGGAGAATTAGCTGACCCAAGGCGGCAGCCTTCTGCCCACAGTATGGAGACGGGATTGGGGGGGGAGGGGGGAATTGCAACAGTGAGTTAGAGATGCCAGCTGGGGCCATCTGAGCAGCACACGGGGGGGATGCCGGCACCTGGAGCCCCCCTGTGCTCTCTATAGGTGAATCTTCCACTTGCAAACCTGCCTCTTTCCTCTCCCGGTCTAGGACCGGACCCTGACCCATATGTGTCATTGCCCCCAGTCCCTTCCCCGGGTTGGAGGTGGCCTCTAAACCTAAGGTCGATGAGTGAATCCTTGTTACCCCTGGACAGACATTTCCATGGTGCCATCTGTCACTGACCACCCACCTGCTGGGGCACATTCTTGCTCTCTGCGTTTGGGCATTGCTGGGCCTCCTGGCCCTGCTCCCCAATCCCTCCTGCCCCTGAGTAAGCAGGTATCATTCCAGACTGCAGCACCACCCGACCCCACCTCAGACTGGTTGGTCAGTGGGAACAGCTCCCTTGCTGGGCCCAGAACCCCCTCCCAGGGCCCAGAACAATGATCATTTAGTGGTACCTTGGGCTCTCGCAGCAGCTTTCCCTGAGTTTCCCAGAATGCATTATTCACATTATTTTTCACTCAAAAAGTGTTGAGAAACCCTTGAGAGAGCTGAAGGACGTGGCTTAGTCCTTGTTTACAGATGGGCTGTGCAAACAGAAAGTTTTCGAATTTTTCAGGAACCAGAGTAACAGAGCTCACTTTTGCTGAAACTAACCCCGGCATCAATAACGAATGGGCACAGCTAGGGGAAGACCTGTAAGCCCCGTCTGGAGACAAGCCTGCGAGTTTGGGCCATGCTGCCCGCCTCCGTGTGACCCAGGTTGCTGGGGACCCAAAGCCATGGACAGTACAGGAAAGACCCTGCTCCTTGACAATCAGAGCTATGTACTGGGACCAGGGCAGGAACAAGGACAGGTTAGCAAAGGAAGGAGAGGAGATCAGAGGGCATGCTGTGCAAATCTTTCAGTCTCTCTCTGCCTCGACTTCCTCATCGTAACATGGGAAATAAAAGTTTCCTCTCCCGGGGCGATTGGTGAAGTCATGGATATGAACACCATCCAATCTATAGATTAGGAGGATTTAGGAGGACTTAGGACTTAGGAGGACTCCTTAGAGCTTAGGGAATCTGAGCTGTATATTGCTAGCTACCCCCCAATATCCATTCTCCCCACACTCTGATCTTCAGCTGGGCTCATGGCTGCCTCGAATCAAGACTCTCTTTCTAGCCTCCCTTGTGGTTATTTCAGCCACGTGACTACATTCTGATCATAACACTGTAAACACAAGTATGGTGTGCAGTTCTGGGGAGAGTCCTTAAAGGGAGGACATGCACCTGTTTGTCCCTTGCTCCTCCTGAGAACTGCAACCAAACAGCATCTTAGATCACGATGTGGAAGACACTTGGAGAAGGCAGCTGAGCAGGAAGAAAGAATGATTGATGTTGACTTTGAGAAACCTCTCTTCCAGCATCTAGACTCTTGACTGAGAGAAAAACAAGCCTCTACCTTGTTTTCAGGCCTGGTTTTCTCTTTGGGGTGGTGTCTGTCACTCACAGCTGAACCTAATCCTCATCCCTACACACTAGAGCCTGTATCTCTGTCCCCAAAGCCCAGGCATGTCCACCACAGCCCACTGCTTTTAAGTCCCAAGGGAAGACTACAGTGCTCAGATAGGATCAGTATAGTTCAAGATCTGCCAATGAGCAGCCCAATAAACCAGGTGAGCCCTGGATTAGCTGACCCTCCAACACCCAAGTTCCAGCTAGAAGGTGCCAGCAGCCAGTCCCATGGGGTTTCTGAAGTGGCTGGAGGTTTGGTTCTTGAGAAGGAGGAAAGAGCTTGAAGAATGAGAAGGCTGAGGACAGGAGAACTGACTTGAAATTCCTTGCTGCTTGGCTTAAATCCAGCATCTGGAAAAGCAGAACGCAAGCTTTATTGTGCTTTGTTTTATTGCTCTTTGCTGATATTGTGTTTTTTTAATGAATTAAAGGTATGTGGCAATTCTGTGTTGAGCAAGTCTATCAGTGCCATTTTTCCAAAAGCATTTGCTCACTTTGTATCTCTGTGCCACATTTTGGTAATTCTTGCAATATTTCAAACTTTGTCATTATTATATTTGGTATGGTGATCTGTGATCAGTGATGATGACTCACTGGAAGCTCAGATGATGGTTAGCATTTTTTACCAATAAAGTATTTTTAAATTAAGGTTTGTACATTTTTTTTAGACATAATAAGTATTGCACACTGAATAGACTACAGTATAGCGTAAACATAAATTTTATAGGCACTGAGAAACAAAAAAATTAATTTGACTCACTTGATTTCCATATTCTCTTTATTGCAGTGTCTGGAACCAAATTCCCCAATATCTCCAAGGTATGCCTATACATGCTGAACAGGCCAGCAAACAGAAGAATATGGTAGGGGCGCCTGGGTGGCTCAGTCGTTAAGTGTCTGCCTTCGGCTCAGGTCATGATCCCAGCATCCCTGGGATCGAGCGCCGCATGGGCTCCCTGCTCAGCAGGGAGCCTGCTTCTCCCTCTCCAGCCTGCTTCTCCCTCTCCAGATTCTCCATGCTTGTGTTCCCTCTCTCACTCTCTCTATCAAATAAATAAATAAAAATCTTAAAAAAAAAAAAAAAAGAATATGGTAGCAGGAGGCGTCAGATGCCCGACCTCATCTCAGAGCTGGTGAGTGCTTTCCTTTACCCACCAAACAGAAAGGACCCGCATGAGCCCCCTTCCCCCACCTGGGAAGACAGAGTGCCACAGCCCATTGCGGCCCACGTAGTGGCTATCTGTGTTCTCACAGCCCAACACCCATTCAGACACTTCAGGGCTAACGCAACCCAGCGTTACTCTGGGAATCCCCACCCGCCTCTCAGCCCCAGTGCAGCGGGACTCCACCCTAGCGCCACACCAACCATGTGACTCAGTCCTGGCCATTCAGAGTGCCTGTATTCGCTCTGCCACTCTGATTGGTCGGGAAGGAGCATGTGCCCCAGTAAGAACAATGAGACCCCAAGAGATTTGCTCTTCTGTTGAGAGAAGAGCAGATTTCTTCTGCCAGGGTTTGAACCCGATGGCAGCCGTTTGCTACCGCATGGAGCATCAGGATGAAGCAGAAATGGGCAGAGCCACCAGGCAGGCGTCCTGGTCCTAGCTGGATCTCAGCCTGAAGCTCATGACCCCTCGCATTTATAGATATCAATACATTTCTTGCCCCATCACCACCCATAACTAGCTGCCTATGCACATTCTGGTCTAACTGCAGCACCATTTCTTTTCGAGTTGGCCAATTTCCTTCCAGCGTCTCAACGCCGTCTTAAACCGCCCTTCCCCTGATGGGGTCAGCTCTCTGTCCCCTGACCAAGTTGAGCAGGATCACACTGAATGGACCCGTTTCCATGTCAGCTAGAGCACCAGCGTAGGAGTCCCTCAATGACAGGACCTGCCTCTCCTTTAACACTGTATCCAGTGGCCAGCATCCAGTAGGCACTCACTAAATGCTGGTTGGATAAATAAATGAATGACTGCAGAGAAGCAAGC